AGGCTTTGCAGATTTGGTGGCTGAAAGTTAAAGGAGGTTCAATCATAGGAAGTGAGGTTACCTCTAAGGTGTGACAGACGAGGTCAAGGCTCAAAAGAAATAATCACGGTAGAAAAAAGCAGAGTCAGCTAACTAAAAAAACTGCTCAGTAATGTTTAGATTGCATGAAATCCAGGACATCTGACTGTGATTTCCTCTTGTGACAAGTATGTTTTTATAATGAGTAATCTAAATGAAAGGCAACGGTTTAAATAAATGCAATATAAATAATAAAATCTAAATTATCTGGCTCTAACAAATTTCCTTCCTAAAATTCCCTGAAAAAAAAATATAGTTTTCAATGATACACATACAGGAAATAGGATGAAAAAAGATCTATGGACAGCAGCAAGAAACCACAATTCTAAAATTAAATAGGAATAAATTGTATGATCAAAAAAATATGGTGAACACAACTTTTTAAACAAAGTTATTACAGTAAAAGACACATTGTCATTAATGCCCCTCAAAAAAACTTCCCCCAGCTGGGCATGGTGGCACATGCCTATAATCCAGCACTTGGAAGGGTGAGAAAAGGGAATTGCTGTGAGTTCAAGACCAGCCTAAACTACAAAGTGAGTTCAAGACCAGCCTGAACTGCATAGTGAGACCCTGTTTCAAAAAGACAAAAAACAAACAAAAAAAAACCCAACTTCTCTCAACTTCAAACATCATTGTTGCTAAGCAGTTCTGGAATTTCTCTTTTGTAAGTGTCTTTAGTTGCACTGTCCTGGCTGCTTCAATGTCCTGAATCCATTCAGGACATTCATCTGTCACGGTCATTTTGGGAGAAGAGCCAGAAATCATGGTAATAAGGTGGATGAGGACACAGTGCAACACATTCACAAGCCTGCCTTTCTATTAGGTGCCACTCAGCAGCATCATTCACTGTATTTCGTATCGCACCTCATAAAGACATGAAATCCCCAGGGCCTGGGGATTTAGCTCGCGGCACAGCACCTGCCTGCCAAGTGCAAGGTCGTGAGTTCAATTCCTGGTATGGGAAGAAAAAAAAAAAAAGAAATCAAAAAAACAAACAAAAAAAACCAAAAAGGACTCCCAGAACTGCTTTGAAAGTGGCAAGAACAGCCAAGTATGGTACTGCATGCCTATAATCTCAGCACTCTGGAGGCTGAGGCAGAAAGATCACCACAAGTTCTAGGGCAGCCTGTACTACAAAGTTAAAGGCCACCCTGAACTACACAGTGACATCCTATCTCAAAATACAAAACGAACAAACCAAAAAAGTAACAAGAACAATTAGCTAAGTGTGTTTGAAGCAAGGGAAATATTTTGTTTTTGCAGTATTAGGGAATGAACCCTGAGTATCCCACATGCTAGGCAAATGCTCTGGCACTGAGCCATGCCCCAGCTCCTAGAAGAAATATTTTGAGGGAGATTAAAGGCAATGTATCTTTTACTGTTAAAAAAAAAAAAAAAAAAAATGTATTTTTTATTATAGTATATTTTATAAAAAAAAAAGGAGAAAATAAACAACTTTTGAAAAAAAAAAAAAAAAAAAAAAAAAAAAAACTGGGGGGAGAGGGTGCAGGATCTTTCTACATAGTTCAGCCTGGCCTTGAACTCACTATGTAGCCCGGCCTGGCCTCAAACTCCCAACAATCCTCTTGCCTCAGCCTCCTGAGTGGTGAGCACGCCAGGTGTAAAAATTTTTTTGAATGTAAATACACACTGCACTTTTTATCAGCCCCTGTAACATTAGAAATAGTTTCTAGCTGGGCAGATGGTATACATCGGTCAACTCAGCACTCTGGGTAGCTGAGGCAAAAGGAATGCAAATTCCAGACCAGCTTGCACAACTTAGCAACTTTATGAGATCCTGTCTCAAAAAGGACTGGGGAAGTATTTCAGTGTTAATGTCCTGGTTTAAATCCCCACAACTGGAAAGGAAGAAAAAAAAACTTTTTTAAGTGAAAAGATTTTCTAACTTAATTTATAATCAAAACATATCTAAACTACAATTATACTGACACTGAAATGCTCACCTACAATTTTACAACTAGCCTTTGCTAATGTTTTACATATATTCTTCTTTTATTAATTCATAACTAAGTATGTTTATATTTAAAGAGCAAAATTTGGACTGTGCTACATCGTCCTAAAACCCAGTTTTTCATTCATTATTATATACATGCTTGTCATCCAATAGTCTTCAACAGCACAAATCATGATAATATACAAGAGGTAAGCCAGGCGTGATGGCGCACGTCTGTAATCCCAGCACTTGGGAGGCTGAGGCAGGAGGATCGTTGCGAGTTGAGACCAGCCTGGGCTACAAGGTGAGCTCAAGCCAGCCTGAACTGCATAGAGAGACCCTGCCTCAAAAAGACAAAAAAATATATACAAGAGGTAATCAAAATATACAGTAAATGTTTACATTTTTAAAATTTATTACACTAAAAAACACACTACGAATAATCTCCCTCAAAACACAACCCATTTGAAACACACTTATCCGATTGTTCTTATCACTTTCTAAAGGAGTTCTGGAAGTCTTTTGTGTCTATACAAGGTGTATTCAAAAATACAATTAATGCTAGTGCTAAGTGACATTTAGTAGAGACAGGCTCATAATACAGTGTGCCTTCATCCAATGTACAACTCCAAACTGGCACTGTGCAACTTTGGCTCTTCCCCAAAGTCAAAATGACCATGAAAGGTAAATGCTGTGAATCACCTGAAGAAACCATGACAACACAACCAAAGACGTTCATGAAAAAACTTCCAAAACTGCTTCAAAAAGAGACAAGAACAATGGGAGAAGTGTGTTCAAAATGAGGGAGAGAATTTTAAGGGAGACTAAGGGCAACACATTTTTTACTGTAATAAATTTTTAAAATTTAAATATTCATTATATTTTTCAATCATACCTCAAAAGGATTTTTTAGGTAAAATATTAGGAAGAATTTAAGAAAAGAATCAGCTATAAGACAAAATAATCCTTCCTCCTACACTTGGCCCAACATTTCTGCCATTTTCAATTTCATCAGAAACAGCCGGAAAATAATTTACACTCTAGTCTTTTCTCCTAAGTCTTTTCATACATAAACAGATGCACATACAAAGAAGAAAAGTCCTGCATTTTTATGTGGAATTTTAAGTGAAGAAAATGTGTCAAACATCAAATTCTGACTTAAAAGTAAAGATTTATTTTTCAGATGTTGCCATTTTGACCAACTATGCAATATTCAGTACTCTGCAAAAGACAGTATTTTAAAAAATCAGTAAAGGTTAAAAGTTTCAATTAAGTTAGCAATTCTTGTTTGGAAACAAAATATAAAAAGTTTCTTAACATATTAGAGAAGAACAACAACAAAGAAAACTCCACATCTAATAAACGAAATTTTCTGAAAGTAAACTATAATCACATTTTGTTAATGAGAAAGCTTTTCTAAAGAAAAATCTACTGATATCTTCCAGGTTAAAATTATTCAAATGTATATAACTTCAGTACCAGCAACAAGAGTATCCAGCCTCTCTACAATTATCATTCCTAGTAGAAAATCCAAAAGGAAGATTTCAAACAGAATCCCAATGTAAATCTGGGGACACTTATTTTCAAGCACTGAATATGTGCCACTTACACACCCATGACAGATGCTAAGGGTACAGACTGACAAAACAAAAAACAATTTCTGTAACCAAAAAGTGATGGACTGGGCTCCTTTAGTAGCTTTCTTCAGCAGTCTGACTTCCCATAGCTGGAGTAGGCTGCGGAGCAATACTGCCTCTTGGGCGAAAGAGAACGCAAAGGGTAAGCTTTACTCAAGTGAAACAGATGAAACAGTCCATCATCATAAATGTATTTCCTCTTTTCCATCTCCTTCCCCAGTAAATACCAGTATGTGTGCTTAAGCCAAAAAAAGGAAAAACTACAGTAACAACTGAGAATGACTGTCTACTGGGGACTACTCATGAAATAGGCAGGACATCATCATCTTTAACCGACACACATCAATGTAAATTATACAGGCATTTGGAGGGAAAAAAAAAATCACACTACAGTCACAACATACATATTTGAAACTTGTTTTTAAAATAGATAATCCGTTAACTAAAATGTGTAAGTCTATGTGCAGCATCTATAGTACCCGTATGTGTAGGCCAGCTAGGCATACACTCTACAATTTTGCTACATCCCTAGCTGCAATGTATTATTAAATATGCATTATATTTTAGCTTATATATATTAACTCAGTGAACATGTGAGTGTATATGTGTTCATAAATTCACTGACTACAGGAATACTTGACTACTCTCTTGGAATTACATAATTACAAAAGAATCCAATCTGAACCTATTATTTCAAAATAGCTTTCTACTCAGAGCTTGCACATAGCTTATGATTCTATTATCATACATACACACACATATATATGTAAATACATACATATATACACACACACACACATATATTTCAAAGGTGATAGGGACTGAATCTACTTAAGCATGTGCTCTAAGGCTGAGCTACATCCCTAGCCTGATTCCACTGTCATATATCTTAGAGGCACACATGTATAAGAAAAAGGTCAAGAAGGCATCATATCATTATGTCAATAGTGGTTTTATACTCTAGTAAGACTACAGGTCATTTTTATTTTGTTGTAGTTGTTTATCTGTCTTTTCTAACTTTGTGCCTAAGTATGGGTTACAGCAGTACCTCAGTTCACAAACTTGATTCTTTTCATGATTCTGATCACAAACACAGTTGGATGAGAACCAAATAAAATTCAGTGGTTAGGTTCAATGATGACCGTATGGGGAAATTTGCTTCAGTTCTTGTCCAATTTGGTTTGTGACCAGAGAAAATTGAGTTCATGAACTGAGGTACCCCTGTAGTAGTATATAAAATGTTAGGTAAAAGCTTCCAGGTTCTGAAAATTTTATTTCTAAAAATGGACGAAGTTAAATATCCCTTTTGCCATCATCAACATACTTACATAGTATGGTTCTGCTTCCCTTTCAGTTATCTCATCCTGATATAGAGTAAAGCAAGTTGGAATTCGTCCAAACCACACATCTCGAAGCACATCTTTGTCATCTGTCATTCTTCCAGTGGTTAAAGCAGTACATATAGGCTAATTTTTTTCTTCAACCAAGGTCAAACTAAAAATAAAAGGAAGAGCATTAGTCAGATCTTTGCAAGGAGAAATTAATCCGCCACAAAACAAAGTCTATAGGAAAAAAATGAATGGCATGAGTATTATTCACTTCAAAAAAGAAAACACTACAAGACTAAACCAGGCAACAGCTACTGTCCTCTGACTCAGGAGCCAAGGGAGTAGCACTGCTTGAGTGAAGGAGTTTGGGGGTAGCCTAGGCAACACTTGAAGAGACCTCATTCTCATCAAAAAACCAAGCCAGGCACAGTGGCACAAGCATGTAATCCGAGCTACTCAGGAGGTTCAGATAAGAGTATTACAAGGTAGAAGGCAGCTTGGGCAAGTTAGCAAGACAGTCTTAAAAAATAGGGCTGGGGCTGTAGTTCACTGTTGCAGTGCTCCAATCTGACACCCAGTACCATACACAAAACAAAACAATGTGATCAGCATTCTTCAGAATGCAAAAGCTAAGTGCAACAAACTCTAAATGCAGATCTATTATTTACTTAAGAGGATCACAGAAGTAACCAATTCGAAACTCATACGCAAGTAATGAACTACAGTCAAAATAAAACTATAGGGGGCTGGGGATTTAGCTCAGTGGCAAAAGCGCCTGCCTGGCATGCGCAAGGTCATGAGTTCGGTTCCCGGTACCGGAGAAAAACCAAAAAAAAAAAAATAAAAAAATAAAAAATAAATAAAACTATAGTATACTTGCATCATCCTTTTACACCCAGAAGAATCTTATCTAAAGAGAACCCCATGATCCTAACAGCCCAAGTCCAAAAGATCATTCTCACAATTACACCTGCCTCATCCAACGTATTTAACTTGTCCCATTCCAAGTACTATCACTTGGAAGAAGAAAAAACCAAATTTACTCATCATGGAAAAATCTATCCCCATTTTAAATTTTTGTTTGTTTGTTTCCGCTGGTACTTGATATGGAAACCAGGACACTCTACCACTGACCTATACTCCTAGACTTTTAAAATTTTTTATTTTGAGATACAGCTCCATTAAGTTCACCAGACTGGCCTCAAACTTATGATCCTCCTGTCTCAGCCTCCAGAGTAGGTGAGAATACAGATGTGCACCACCATGCTCATCTCCAATTTCATCCAATCCATAATCTGATCCAATCCATACCTGCAGTTTTATTAATGATGCTTCCTCTCATAAACCCTCCTGCAAAAATTGCCCACAAGCACCTTGCTGTATGTACTACCATTGCCCTGGTCTAATATGCTCTTCTCTCATCTATTCAAACCCTACTACTCTATAACCCAAGCACATCACCCTCTTCCCCAATGAAACAGTAAATACTTCTATCATGAACTCTCAGAATATTCCCTATTCCACAAACATAGCACTAGACTTGCTGTATGTAAACCTGCTAATGGAAATACCCTGGGTATGGTAGAAGAACATGGTTTTTGATCTCAAACACCCCACTGTCTTTCAGTGCTAATACTCTACAACTAAGAAGCACTATAATATACCACTTGAATAAATGCTGAAATAATACTGATAGGCCACGAATGTAGCTCAGTGGCACAGTGTCTGTCTGGCAAGTACAAGGCCCTGAGTTTGACTCCTGGTACGAAAAAAAGAAAGAATACTGATGATACTTTAAGCAATTCAATATGTGGTACCTGAATACTAAGATACAATAAATCTACTCAAATAATATTTCCCGCTTTCCCCACCTTTTATGGGCAGCTAATTCCTAAATCCTGGATACAATGTCATCCAGAGGTAAATAAACTGAAAGAGATGGAAAAACCTGCTCAACCTAAAAATACTGGGCAACAGTCAAATCAGGATAAAAACTACAGTTAAAAAAAAAAAAAAAACTACAGTTAGACTAACTCTAGTGTTATTTTAAAAGCACACCAGTAGGCTGAACATGGTGCACGTCTGCAATCCCAGCACTCAAAAAGCTGAGGCAGGAGGACTACTGCAAGTTCGAGGCCAGTTACAAAGTGAGTTCAAGGACAGCCTGAACTGCATAGGGAAATCCTGTCTCAAAAAAAAAAAAAAAAAAAAAAAAAGTATATCAGTATTTTCACTTTTATTAAAATATGAAAAGTAACTATTTTTGGTCAGTTATAATTGGTAAATATAATTTACATAATTTACATTTATTTTTCATTTTAAAAATTAAAAAACTGACAAAACAACAATGAAGACAAAAGCAAAACAACATAAAAACAACAAAAATGATACATGACCTCAAAACAAAGTGATAGAAATTTACAATGGTTGCTATATTACATATATTACATATATTACATACTGTTATCTTCAATGAAGTTGCTCAGTCCACTAGACATAATGTCAGATTGATCAAACAAAGACAGTAACAAGTAAAAAAAAATTTTTTTTAAATTTTAAAAACACCATGCTTTGAAATTCTGTATCATTTTTATGGCTCTCTATGCTGTTTTGTTTATGTATTTGTTTTTGTTATCTTGTTTTATTTTTTAAATGAGAAACAAAATGTATATGTATATATAAGGATAGCTGGAATTGTTGATGCCTGTGGTTTATTGAGAGGATCAGTCGACACTTAAAATTTTCTTTTTTCTTGACCAATTTTGCACACTTGAATTTGATAATCAGAATGACTGATTTGAAAACAATATACACTATAAGAACCACTGTTGAATTCCTACCATCTTGTACGGTGAAGCTCCGCATCATTTCCAATGTTTCTTTTTTTTTTTTTTACATAATTTACATTTAATGTATGTATGTTAAAACTTCACGTAGCTCCACAGTGATAAGCCCCAAATTCAAGCATACTGAGTTTCTTTACAGACCAGAAAATTTCCAAATTTTCAGATCACACAAAATATTCACTGAAAACAGAAAAGTACTACCTACTTCTTGATTCCATCCAATAAACTGTTCTTTTTTAGTAAATTTACTAATCTAGCATGATGGTACATTCCTGTAATCCCAGAACTCTGGTAGGCTGAGAAAGGAAGCTCAAGGTTTGAGTCCAGCGTTGGCAACTTAACAACCTTGTCTCAAAATTTAAAAAACGTAAAAAGAGACAGAGATGGAGCTCAGTGCAGAAGAGTTCTGGGCTCCATACCCTGGTGCCACATACATACATACATGCATGCATGCAATACATACATGCATAAACGAACAAGCAAGTAAGATAAATTTACTAGTGGCAAGAATTAATGAAATCTTGGTTATGAAAAGTAAATTAAAATTGAATTTGATATAAAGGTGGAAAACAGCGGTTCTACAACTGTGATATACCCAATAGACAGCTACAACTGAGATTCCCGCTTTGCTCACTTAGAGAAAAAAACATGAAGCAACAAGCTCTCTTACTAATAGATTAAGAAAAATTTATTATAGTTTTAATATTTGTGTTTGTTTTCTTGGGTTCAAGTGCTACCAATTAAACTCAAGGTTCTACTATAGAGCTATATTACCTGCACACTTTAGTTATAATTTTAAAGTTCAAAGGTCACCATCAATATTGTCACATTGGATGACTTTTTTTCTTCTGAGAAGAAACAGAAACTATAACTCAAGCTGGAGGTGGTAGCTCAAACCTATAATTGCAGCTACTTAAGAGGATGAGGCAAGGGGATTCCAAGCTGGAGAACAGACTGGAAAATTTAACAAGACCTTGTCTTTAGAAAAACTTATAAAGGGCTGGGAACGTAGCTCAGCACTCCCAGTACTCCCAAGGGCAGGGGTGCTGATTTATATCAAGACAATTCAAACTTAAAGTGTGTATGGCCATCTAAGGAAAGGCAACTCTACAAACTCTTCACTTCTGTCCCAAGCACTGTCCTTCAAAAAACAAAGAGATGTGATTGGTCGGATTCCAGAATTACATCTGAGCTGTGTTTATTAATAGGCAGGCATCACCATAAACCAAAACATTATTCATGTTAATATGGCTTCCTTCTCTCTTGTGTGGGCTGCCACAACACTTGACTGTCCTGCTCTTTCTTTCCATGTCACTCTCTTCTGCTTCTCCCTTTCATGTGTGAGAAGGATCAAAAGAAATAACCAATGGTTTCTCTTCGTATCTGAGAGTCCTTCCTCAAAAGTGATACAAAGATGAACTTAGGAGAAGAAAATATCTCAAAAGCCAAACTACAGCCTTGGGTTTTAAAGCTTGTGCTCTAGACATGATCACCAAATTCTACCGTATTATTTAAGTACAAAAACCAGTGTTAAAAAAAAAACACCAGTGTAAATCTAGGCAGGCATGGTAGTATATGCCTGTGATCCCAGCATCTGGAAGAGTGAGGCAGGAGGACTACAAGTTTGAACCCAACCTGGGCAATACCCTATTAAAAAAAAAAAAGAACTTCAAAAGATGTATAGGATGTAACTCTATATGAAAGCCTTGGATTCAATCCCCAGTTCAGGAGGAAAAACACTGGTACTTGTATCTTTGTTTCTTATACCTTTTTTATAGGATATCAAAGTGAAAAAATGATCAGACAAGATAGCTAAAGGTATAATGTGATATCTGATACAAATTTGCAAAATAAAATCCGTAAAACAGATTTGTGAAATGCAAACAAGGCTACTTACTGCTTCATAATACGCTTTAAAAACCTATGACCAAATAATATTTTAACATATAAAAATCTATAAGCCAGGCGTGGTGGTGCACGCCTGTAATCCCAGCACTCAAGAAGATGAGGTAGGAGGGTCACTGCAAGTTCAAGGCCAGCCTGGACTACAAAGTGAGTTCAAGGCCAGCCTGAACTACAGAGTGAAACCCTGTCTCAAAAAGACCAAAAAAATGAAAAATGTAGAGCCGGATTGCCTGTACTCAAAGCTTAGCTCTATCACTTATTGTGTGACCTCAAGTAAGTCACTTAACTTCTCTTCATCTGTTTTCTCATCTATGATATGGGAAAATAGCACTTAACCCATTTGATACAATAACTAAGTGAATTAATACACATAAAAATCAATAGTTAGCTGGGCTTCCACACACACCCCTATTAC